TGCGTGCCATGCACAGAACGTTTCGACACCTGCAAAATATTCCTCCCTGGGAATTGCTGTCGGGCCGGGCATGGCACGGTACGGTGTTGGCCGGTGCAGTGGGTATTGCCTCATAGTAATTCATACAAAGAATATTTTTTTGCATGTGTCGATACGGTTACGGTCATGCTATGATACGGTGTAGTGGGCAAAGACCTTTAGTTGTTTACAGCGGGAAAGGTCTCTGCGCCGCATTGAAACCCTTGTTTGTCGTCAGACCCTCATACATATGACACTCATCACTACTAGTATCTTCGTTCTACCAGTTATACCCCAATCCTTCTTGGTAGTTATCGCAAAATTTCAATTTTCCTCTAACATACCGTACCTTGTGCTCCTCCGCCCATTTCTAACAAACCCACCACACATTCTTCCATTTTCTCTCAATATTCTTTATCGAAACATTAGACGGAAGGATTACCTGATCATCGGCATATGCTTGTACCAGATCTACCCCCACTTCTAACACATCCCTCACCTTCGCAAATCATTCGCTCATAGCACAAATCCACAAGACTGGATCGGACTAGAGTCCTGCGAACTTCCTCGCTCGTATTGTATCCTACCTCTTCACACTCCATAGTTCGGTTAATTAAAAAAGTATTTATCGCACATATAAGATACCTTGATCACTCCATTGTGAGTCTTAATTTCCCTACCAATTCATTCAATGTCTGTACTGTACTGCTTCCTCTCCTGAACCCAAACTGGCCTTCACACCGCATATACCTTTCCACATATACTAACAACCAACCAAGATAATAGTTATCTAAAACTTTAATTACCTAAACCTTCCGATAACAATCGGTTCCAAGAGAGAACGCCACACGCCTTGAAAAAATCCGCAGGATGAATCCGTCATTACTTCACCATGTAGGATGAGCATTATTGACAATGATTGAAAAGCGTCGAAGGATAAACATAATCGCTTTCGTCTGGGTAAACAGGTTACATGATAAATTTTTAAGAACCTCCTCCAGTTAATTAATCTCCTTGGTGGTGGGGAGAGGGTAGTTACACATCATTAGTGAATATATCTGCTATACATGTTCTAACACGACATTACATCGTGGGACGTCAGACAGAAAGCATGACAAATTTTTTAATAAGCTCCTCTCCTTGAAACCTCCTCCTCAAGATAACATGAACTCCTCCAGTTAATAAACCTCCTCCTCATACTCAAGGTCAATGCTATTGTTACTAGGTGGGAATTAAAATTGTCAAATATTGTAAAATTTCAGTAAAATTATTAAAGAATATTATGCAAAAACAATTTCAAAATTGCTTACGTTAGTAGGCGTTATCTTATCATAACCGCATACCAAGGTTATTTGCGTTTCAGTAAAATTATTAAAGAATGTTATGCAAAAACAATTCCGAAGTTGCTTACGTTAGTTGGCGTTATCTTATCATAACCGCATAACTCTCTTCGAAGGAATCACCCCAAAAAAATTTGCCGATTCAAGAACCTCCTCTTCGAACCGGCGCGGCGTTCTAGGACGAGGTTCTTGAATCGACAAATACCTACTACTATCCGGCCAAGCCGCGAAGAAAATTTCTCTATCAAACCCAAAGTAAAACTGCTTTAAACTATCCCAACCCACGCGAGTGATCCCTACCCGTCAAGAATATTGAATAACGTGAATAGAATGTTCAATTATAGGTTGAGTTGAAAAAAGAAAACAATTGAACGTGCGTTTGGGATGAGTGTGAGAAGTTCGCTATTTTGAATGGTATAATTCGCATTCGAGAAACTGAGGCTGTGAAATTCGTCATCCAAGCAGCTTGGGTTCTCCACAATTTTGTGAGAAAACGAGGACTTCCCTACATGCCAGGTGATACAACTGCTGCGGTAGATGACCACGTGATGGTGAAGCTTCTACCACAGCATTTGACCATACATAATAACTCTCGTGCAGCAGATCTTAGAAGTTATTAGCCAACTATTTCCTTAATTCGTAAGCTTCACTGGCCTGGCAGTGGAAATACGCAACATGAAGTTACAAGTGTAATACCTACCTTTCACTTAATTACGTAATAGGTATGGAGACACACAGTTTTGTATTTATTAAATAAAAATAAACAATACACCTGTCAATTTTACTATGTTGCCGACCTCGACCCACACCTTCTTTGTTTAATATATTTGATATTTGACATAAACAAAAGGTTGAGAAATTGGCTATTCATCCTACTGGATCATTTGGAACTGGAAACTCAAATCACTAGGCGATCCAACATGCGAGTTGACTGGTGACTGATTAAAAACCTATTTCCGTGAATCACAGACGAGTCCGCCATCAGTAGCGTTGTGGGTGGCGTCTGATTTGATTACATAAGAAGTAAACTCAAACTAAATTGGTTAGTAATTCGCGTCAGTGATCAGTTCCTTTACAGTAGATCCGTGCGCAAACGACCCAAGAGGTACCAGGTAATAGATGACGCTAATATACTTAAAAAAGAAAAATAAACCGTTACAAATATAAATCTTATATGTCTTCTTTACCACGATAGCAATCATTGTGAATGCATAGCATTTTGTTTGGTGGGGTCAAATAACGCTTATCTATCATCACGTGTATTATAGATTATCTCTTTCAGAAACTTTCTGAATAAACTTTAAGTTGAGCTACGTCACTTTTAAGAGCCAATATACTATACCGTAGCCATTGGGATTTTTGTTTTCTACAAAATTCATGGATATATACAGGGTCCGGCAGTGACAAGGAAAGATTTAAAGTAGGGCTTGTAGCGCGCCGCGAAGTGATGGGGAAGAAAGTAGCCAACTTGCCAAGACCTGCATAGTTTGCCATTTAGTTTACAATGGAGTGTTGGACGGGTGAGCATCGCGGTTACGCAGTTAAAGCCTATTTTCAAAACGGTGAGATTTCGGCACAAATCATCGGTCCATATTTTTTTGCAAATGAGACTGAAAATGCCGTTATTATGAAATTACCGTTAATTCTGTACGATACGTTGCAATGATTCAGAATTATCTCACACTACAACTTGAAGGCCTTCCAGGGAATGAAGACACACTTTTTCAACAAGTCACACTACAAGAATTTCAATGAATGCTGTAATTGCTTTGAAACGGCGATATCAGTTGGCCCCCTCGGTCTCCCGATCTAACCCCCTGCGACTTCTTTCTTGCAGAGCTTCTTTATGCAAAACTTTCAGACACGACTCCAAGTATGCATAAATTGTAACGGAGGACATTTGGCGGATGTAGTATTCAAAAAATAATTTTTTGACTTTGTAAACCAAATGGCAAATCATGCAGGTCTTGGCAAGTCGGCTACTTTCTTCCCCATCACTTCGCGGCGCGCTTCAAACCCTACCTTAAATCTTTCCTTTTCACTGCCGAACCCTGTATAATACTACTATTTGTTGCTCCAGCAAGCTCCCTATCAACTCTTTCGTTTTATTCGACAATTATGGGGCATTCACTTAAATACAATATGTCTGCCGAATTCTAAAACTACGTGGATCAGTTCTTTATTTGTATTTAATGGGACATTAGGATCCTACTTCTGCAGTATCAAGATTTTTATATAAGAGGTTGTCTCGGTTCCTACGCCGCAATACTTTAATTTTAGTTTGTGGGCGAGGGGCAAGAGTGGGAGTGTTTCGTGACGTAAGTGACGGCGTATTGCGCGCGCAACTTCAAGGCCAGGTGGATGTTCCGACTAGTATTAACATAAATCTATTATTACTTTAGTTTCCATCAATTTTATGATAAGTGAATTTATATCAAAAATTAAGTTGTGTTATTTTCCGTTTTAATAACGCAGTTAATTATATACTATACCAAATATATTAAAGTAATTCAATTAATTTATTTAAAAAATTTGAATTATTTCCTGCCAATGACGTAATGCGTAGCCAAGGTCTATAGAACATAAGGTTACCCAATGCCGATTCTCTGAGGGGCAAGGTGGGTCAGTGGCGTAGCTGGTTCTATGAACAACACAACAAGATGCGAGGTTTAAATATTTTATATAGACTGTACCACAGTATAGGCTATCTTTTACTCTGACTGTGGCGAACCAGTGACGTCAATCTGCGGGGTAAGAGTCGATACTACAGAGGCATAGGGAATTAGGTAACCTTATGTTCTATAGACCTTGATGCCTAGCATGGTTGCGTATAAACCTAGACCTCTTATATAAAAACATTGCTGCAGTACCACTACGATATGTCCTACCTACTAGGTAAACTCATTTCATTATACAGCGTTCATAGAACACTACAGGATATTGTAAATATACGTTTTATTAATAATGAGCTGAACATCCTCTCCCTCGCTTTTAGTGGCAAAGATTTTAGCAGATGGTCAATTTTTTCTTGATGTAGTGTCTCTCAAAGAACTTGTAATTGCTGTGGAGTCCCTCTATGCTTTATTTCATCATGCTGTATTTGTCCATAGCAAAAGATTGGGGACCCATGACAAGAGATTCTTCAACTCTGCAAAACTGAACATCATTTTTCCGAACTAATAACTGAAAAAACAGAAAAAATAGAATGATATTGTGTTCTATCACCTCATGCAGATATAGCCGGGCGTTTATATAGTCTCCGAAGAAGTCCATACGACATCTATTCTCATAAGTTGTAGCACTCCCTAATCCCTACATACATATCCAAACAGAATCATAATTTCAACACTACCCTATATCACTGTAATTTTCAGTGTAGTCGCAACCTACACCACTTCAGCGTGACGCGAGCGACACGCCGCGTAATGTTTGGAGACACCCTTAACCCGTTACTGGAACACAAGTTATAGCCTATATGATTTCAATGTGAAAGCTCTATGGCTGCGATACACTATTCGTAGAGTTACAGGATTTCAGAATCGGTCTCTTGTTGCCATAACTCAAAGACGGCGAATTCATGCTGGATAACTGCGCATGATGCATAAATGCGCTTAATTGGCGATTAAAAAACAACACAGGAAAAATTAAAAAACACTGTTTTATTAGTATCACTTTACCAACTCACTATTTACCAGGATTTCCATCAAATCATGTCAATCATCATAACGTCTAAAAAGGACTGTAGATCTTATTAATTTTATTTAACCAAAGGAGTAACAAAATAATTATCATTAACAGAATTGCTTATAACTAACTTTATCTTACACTAAGTTAGTGAACAGTCCAAAACTTCCCATTTTGGAAATGACAAATCTGTTGTATTTACAATACTAAAGATACACAATTTAAAGCTTAATATATCTAACTTAACATTGACTGTCTTAAGCGCTAAGTCTTCAAAACATAGATTTATTATTTCAGTTCCCACGGTGCTTTAACCCTTAAATAGCTTGATTTTCCTTCAGGAATGGTAGGTATTGGTTCGACATGCTTAGAGCTAGCATTACTAAGACTTGCAGGTTTTATATTCGCATGATTATTAACTGGACTTGCTAAGTTTTGATCTGTAATGTTTTTAGAACTACTTTTCTTTTGTACAGGTGACTTAGCTGGAGTATTTGGAACGGATGATCGCATAACAGTAAAACGGGGAGGTTGTGCTGATACGGAATTGGGCATAACAGTCACATTTTGATTAGGCAAATCATTACGCTTTGAAGGTCTAAATATTGCCTGATTTGCTGAAGTAAAGGTTATAGTTTGGTTTGGTATAGTATGACTAATAGTGCTTAATACGGTAGGATTCCGATTGGAAGGGACAGTTTGTACATTTGACGTTGTAAACGAAGGATTTGTCGATAATATGTAACCATCACGAGTTCGTATTAATGTTTGAGGAAATATTAAAGGAATTTGCTGAACTGGCATTATTGAAGGATTCAGGTTTGCTGTTAAAGTATGCGTTTGTGGTATGTTGGTGTGAGTTACGATGGGAGTAACTAACTGCGGATGTTGATTTGAACTTATATCTGTAATTTGGCTTGATCTTGGCCTTATTTGGTTGTTTGCGGTATGTAACACAGGGGTTATATTTGAGTTTGTTATCTGTATTTGAAAATGATTATCCGATAAAGTTGTTGGTCGCTGTAATTGCTGATATGTATTTAATGTATTCAATATGATTGGTGAAGTATTTGGAGTAATTGTTGATCTCGCCTGTATATCCAGCGTTTCCTTTAACATTTGATTCGTTTTGACATTCTGATTTGTTAGTAAGGATGGCTTAGGAACAATTTGTCGTCCATCAACTGTTTTGGTAGATACAATTTCGCACGACGTTCTGTTGATGGGGTAGCCCGTCCAATCACTTATTCCAGGGGTTGGAACCGATTCCTCCGATGCACTGTTTATTTCTACTTTCATAGAATCTCCGGACGTTAAATTAACGGAAATACGATAATGTTTAAGTACTAGATACATGTTTGACAATGTAGCTTGGCCTTTTCCCATTCTTACTGTATACAAATCAATATCTTCCTGACATCCTGTTGTTTTATAGAAAGAAGGAACGGCGTTGTGATATTTTTGGTATAATGCACATATATGTTTGTGCTCGGCCGCAGTCATTAGTTGTGGATCTTGATTAGTTATTCGCTGTTCATCTTCATCGGATATATAAAATACGTCAAAGGCGCTGTCTGATGTTACATTTAATACATTTTCAACCATATCATCACACCTCTTCAAGCATAATATCGGTTGATTTCTTATTATTGTTCTGTGACATCTAGCCCTCATATGAGAAGTAAGAGAGATTTGTGATCTAAATATTTTCTTACAAACTATACATGTCTTATGCATACGTTGTCTATGACACTTAAGATTACGTTTTTTGTCGAACATCTTGTTGCAAGTGTTACACGCGTAAGTCGCCTGTTCTTCAACAGTTTCTAATAAACTGTATTCAAAATAATCAGGAACGTAATCTTCATCTGAATCGTTCGTCTCATCTTCAGTAACCGATGGTGATTTATCATTGTTATGTGAAGAATTAATTAAGTTTTCATCACTAATTAGAGAGTTTTCTGTCAAACTGTTATCTAATTGTTGTTCTTGAGGTACTTGCAATGTTGTATTAGTCGCGACGTTATCATGGCAAGCTATCACATTTGGGATAGTAGTATCACATTTACTGTTTGATTCATGAGGTATGTGTTCACTAGATCTACTGACATCACTAACATTACTTTCATTATTAGCTATATTGGAGGTTGAAGGTGTTGCTATATCTGTAATCAGTTTGATTTTCTTACTACAGTGAGGTTCCTCTGTCAGATTTCTTTTAATGCTTCCACTTGATAGCATAGCTTTAACAAGTTCCGGATACCAAATCCCCGAACTCCGAATTTTTTCTTGAATATTTGTGTTGTTTACGATTTGTTTTGTTATTTGCGGAATTTCCTTTTCTACTATTTTATTATTTCCAACTAGATTTTCGCTACTGCTTTTATCAACAGTATTAATGATATCGTTTTGTAAAGGTATATTTTTTAAATCTGATTTAGCAATGTTCAAGTTCGAAATATGGACTTTAGGATCACAGTTCGTCGATATTAGTTTAGATGGAAGAATAGTTTTTGGATGCAGCTTCATCAATTTGAAAATTGATGGATGAATTACATATTGCTTGTGTTCTTCGGGAGTTCGTACCGATGTTACCGCATCGCTACATCCCAACTGAATTTTAATGTTCGGTTTCTTTACTAAAAAGTCGTTTACGGTCAATATGGTAGAATGTTTAGGATCTTCGCTAGCCTTATTATGTGATTGATGCAATAAGTTCTGTTTAACGAAAATAAAGTCAATTTGTGTATCATCAAAATTATGTTTCAGTTTAATTTTACCTTTAACGCTATATCGTTGGCCATAGCGTTCTTTCTAAATTGGAAGATTTTTATCGAAATTTGGCAGCAACTGTTGCATATATATTTTGTTATTTTATCGGTGGCCAAAATCTGAAATTTAAAGAAAACGTTGTATTGTAGGTGTTAGATTTATATTGTAAAATTTGATATATTATTATAATAATAAAGTGGGGGAACTGAAAAATATTAAATCATACAAACGAAAAAGTAACGTTCGTTATTATTTAGCCGCACTGTTAAAAGTTACGGAATCATAGTCGAAAAGCTACGTCAATGTTATAGGCATATCCTAATAACTAATGGCATAAGCACTGTCTATACCAATGAACGGGTGCAACATCTCCTAAGTAATTGATATGGTAATCGATTGCATATCTAACATCAAGTGTTGCATACGCAATCTTCAAGATCAATGGGTACAAAGATAGTGCCTCAGCCGCAAGCGGCCTCGGTTAATATTGTGTATCGTGGCAGAGAGGTGTCTTCGATGAGACATATTAGTCAGTTTCGACGTGAAATAACATTTTACCAAAGTACCGGGGAAGGTCTCCGACGAAAACTTATACTAGAAGTATTAGTTAGGTAAATCCCAGAACTTCTAAAGACTGTCTTGCTATCCCCTTATTTAAGCTGGATTGGACTGCCGTTATCACCAATCATCGCCAACTTATACATGGAACTGTTTGAATAAGCTTCATAGCCAGTCTTTGAAAACCAGAATAGCCTACGATACGTGTACATTTCAACAGTCAGCATTCACCTTCCTCAATGAATCAGTAACCACGACCAACAATGGACAATTCAAACACGGTGTATACCGAACGAAAACACGCACTAACAGGTACCTATAACTTTGATATAATAGAAGAGTGGTTATATTATGTCGAAGGGTATCCAACAGGCTAACAAGAAGAAGAAGCTACAGACAATAGATACTTTCCTTTGTTTCACGCGTAACGGAACGGATAGCCAGACGATTAAAAAAGGACGACATAATGGTGACTCATGGGACAGTCGGCAAACTACGCAAGCGCATTGCCAATAGCTACGGCAAACCCATGCGACGACCATCCTCTTGAATACACACTTCAAGTTTGCGGCAGAAGTTACCCGCGATCTTTTAAATACCCCCATAGGAAAAAAATCACAGCTGGACCATCCAAGGACTTTGTTGACATGATCTTGGGGGTCAGGTCACGTCACCAAAACGAAAAATGAAGCGTTCAGGGAACTTCCTCGTCACTATTCCCACAGAAGCCTTGGCAGTGTGCGCACCATATAGAAAATAAATATTTCCTATATTTAATGGATGTCTTTCAAGTTCTGGTCTGTCATACGCCCAGTATGGAGAGATTTCTCGCGGATATTGCTTGAATTATCAAGGGCCAATAGCAACAATTGTTTTTGTCTACCAAACCATTCAAATGGAAATGAGCTTTATCGGTCCTTATCAGTACTTCCTTTGGATTTTTTTAAAGTAACATTTAAGCACAATGTCAGGACTTCACTATGCGTATATTCCGACCTTGTGCGTATGCACGTATTAAATGTGCAGTTTAATGTGTCCCTCACATTCAATTGCCGTACCACCAGCATTTTGTAAAATCTTTTAACAGATGTTCAACAGATATCTTACAAGTTGGAGATCTTACCTGATATTGGCACTACTTCTAAGGTCAGGGGACGGTTTGTTTATAATATTTCTTGTTAATTTCAAACACTCAACCTATCGCTGCATCATATTGTGGTTTAAGGCTAAGTTCACATGTGAAGTACAAAAACGCGCGTTGACGCGCAATAGAATTTTGAAAGTGTTCAAATGCCGAAGCGCTAACGTGAGCTTCACATTTGAGAATGGTTGTAGAAGAAGCTGAACTGTATATGGATGTCACGTAAAACTCAAAGCGCGCGCTAACGCGCGTGTGTTAATTTTTACGTTGCAGCGCTGTCAACGCGCGCTCTTATGAACGATTGTACTTAAATACATTGATATCAAAGCGCGGGCTTACAAATCGCGCTTCAGAATATTGTCATGTGAACGGGGCCTGATACAGCACCATTCCGATCGATATTAAAATGACGAGGAAAGATCCGCTGTGTTATAATCATCCACGACTCCATGGTAACTATGCAGTTGTATAGTAGCTGTTTTAAAAAACACCCGCTTTCCATTTGTTACCTTGTGCTATATGGGGCAAGCTGGACGGAACTTCGAAAGTCGTATAAAGAAACACATCACTTGCCAGGGGTAGCTACTATCCCCAGAGGATAACTAAAACGCCATAGGAGCTGAGCCGGACCTGAAAGATTTTACTGGATTCTATGGAGGATTCCCCCACTCCACACCGAACCCGGCAATTGCGGTATAATAATTAGTAACTGTAATAATAAGATCCGCTGTGTTATAATCGACTCCATAGACATCCTATGGACTGCTGAGAACTATGAGAACTATGCGGCTGTGTAGTAGCTGTTCTAAAAACGCTTTGGATATGTTACCCTGTGCTATGTGGGGCAAGCTGGGCGGAACTTCGAAAGTCGTATAAAGGAACACTAAAGGGACATCAGATACCATAATATAGATTGTTATAAGACAAAAATACGAGGAGTAGCCACTATCACCAGAGGATGACCAGAAAGGCCGTAGGAGCTGAGCCGAACCTGAAAGACTTTATTTCATTCTATGGAGGATTCCTACTTCACACCGAACGCAGCAATTAGCGAATAATAGTTAGTTACCAAGGTTTATATTAAGAGGTTGTCTAGGTTTATAAGCAACCATACTGTGCATTACGTCATTGGCGGCAAATAATTAAAATTTTTTAAATAAAGTAATTCAATTATTTTCAACATATATTTAGTATGGTATAATTAACTGCGTTAGGAAAACGGAAAATAATTCAACTTAATTTTTGATATAAATTCACTTATATATTAATTGACAGAAACTAAAGTAGTAATAGATTTATGTTACTAAACTAATGAGACTAGGGAAGACACTTCAACTCTCACTAAACAAAAAGCACGGAACATTCACATGGCCTTGAGGTAGCGCGCGCAACCCGCCGCCACTTACGTCACGAAACACTCCTGCTCTTGCCCTTCGCCCACAAACTAAAATCAAAGTATTACAGCATCGGAACCTAGACAACCTGTTGTATAAAAACCTTGATTAGTTACTACATATTGTCCAGTTCCCAGAGACGTTGTCACTGTTGAACTCGTTTCTGAAGAAGGTTGCAATATGGTATCCGAAACGTCAGTGTTTTAACAGATGCACATCATAACCCGGAAGTTTAAAACGTATTGAAATGGTCCATACGTATTTCTCAATGATGTCAGGTTCAACGCTAGCATCAACAAACGATTGTAATTTACAATATTGCTGCTTGGGTGCGCGATTCAAAGATCCGCTGTGTTATAATTAAGGCACGGAACTGTTGTAACAAAACGATACGAATTCTCTCCTCCAGTTGTTCTCAGAGGCGTCCTAGAAAACAAGGTGGTGTCAAGTCAACTCGCCTCCGACTTGTTTTTTAGGACGCCACTGAGAACAAATGGAGGGGAGAAATCGTATCGTTTTGTTACAAAAGTTCGGTGTCCTAGTTACAATATTATATTATTATAATATAACACAGCGGATCTTTGAATCGCGCACCCGGGCCGCCATATTGTAAAATAAAATCGTTTTTTGATGCTTGCATTGAACCTGACATAATTGAGAAATATGTATGGACCATTTCAATACGTTATAAACTTCCGGGTTATGCCGTGACCTCGCCTAGGACGGTAGCGTCAAGTCAACTCGCTTCCGACTTGTTTTCTAGGACGCCACTGAGAATAAGTGGAGGGGCGAAATCGTATCGTTTCGTTAAAAAATGTTCCGCACCCAAGTTATAATTATCCATGACACCATAGTCATGTGTAGTAGCTGTTCTAAAAACATCCGCTTTCCGTATCTTACCTTGTACTATGTGGGGTAAGCTGGACGGATCTTCGAAAGTCGTATAAAGGAACACAAAAAGGACATCAGATACCATAACATAGCAAACAATTCATACCGTTAAGCAATTCATAATATGAAACTCAATATATTTTTTTTAAATAAATAAATCGTCGAGGAACATATTAAATAACTACGCATGCGCCCGTCGAAATGTCCAAAAAGATTTTATACGGATGGCGCAACGTGTTGAACTCGTAGAAAGTAATACCTGTTCTTCGAATCCATGAAATTAACCAAAAACTACTTACGTTGACCCCCGAACATAACCAAATGTACGTCCGCAACTGTGCTAAGTTAATTAACTCCTTGCTGAAAACGTCCAGGACATTTTCCCGGCTTAAACACAAGCGGCAATACATGTCAGCCATTTCACGCGTTGCCACTCACAAGACTATCTTCTTTGTTACTGAAGCCGTGCACAAATCGGCTGACCTCGTTCGATTCTCACACCACGTGACCTATTCGGGTGGGGGAACACACCACCGCAGCTAACTGACTTGATACCACCGACCTATTTTCTAGCAAGGTCCGTTGAGTATTGGTTATAAGGTTATCCAACTCGAATAAATTGACGTTGGCGGGGTGAGGTGGGAAACGTGACGTCATTGGAGGAAAAATATAACATAGTATGATATAATATAAATTTAATATAATATAATATTTATGTTAACAATTATTTAAAAATTAAACAAGTGTTATTAAAGTCAAGAAATAAAGAGTTTGTGTTGGTTTACGTATATAAATGAAAATAGAAATGACAATTCTTGCAATGACGTCACAGCAAGGCCTTTACGGAGGGGATACGTTCATAACAACAGCGTTCATAGGGAGTTGGATAACCTTATACAGTATATTTACTCAACGGACCTTGGTTTGCTAGGACGTCACTGAGAAGTCTAACTACGCAGGTGTGTAGTAGCTGTTCTAAAAACATTCGCTTCCATATCTTACCTTGTACTATGTAGAGTAAGCTGAACGGAACTTCGAAAGTCGTATAAAGGAACACAAATGGACATGAGATACCATTAAATAGATTATTATAAGACAAAAATACTTGCCAGGAGTAACCACTATCACCAGAGGATGGCAAAAAGGCCATAAGAGTCGAGCCAAACCTAAAAGATTTTACTGGATTTTATGGAGGATTCCCACTTCACATTCAACGCGGCAATTAGCGAATAGTAATTAGTTACCACATATTGTCCAGTTCCCAGAGACTTAGTCACTTTTGGATTTGTTTCTGAAGAAGGTTGGAATATGGTATCCGAAACGCCAGTGTTTTAATAGATGCATGGCATAACCCGGTAGTTTAAAACGTTTTGAAATGGTCCAAATGGATTTCTCAATGATGTCAGGTTCAACGCAAGCATCAAAAAACTTCAAAGATTCAAAGATCCGCTGTGTTATAAATTATAACACCCGTAAGGGTCCGGCCCTTAGAATCAAAACATGAGTAAACGTAATCATTAGGGCACGGAACTTTTGTAACAAAACGATACGATTCCTCCCCTCCACTTGCTCTCAGTGGCGTCCTAGAAAACAAGTCAGAAGCGAGTTGACTTAACACCACCGATGAAGTTTCGTACCCTAATTATAATTATCCATGACACCATAGTCATCTAACTACGCAGGTGTGTAGTAGCTGTTCTAAAAACATCCGCTTTCCATATCTTACCTTGTACTATGTGGGGTAAGCTGGACGGAACTTCAAAAGTCGTATAAAGGAACACAAAAGGGACATCAGTAGGGCACGGAACTTTTGTAACAGAACGATACGATTTCCCCCTTCCACTTGTTCTCAGTGGCACCCTAAAAACAAGAGGGGGGAAATCGTATCGTTTTGTTACAAATGTTCCGTGTCCTAGTCAGAGCCGGATCAAACGTTTTGTGGGCCCGAGGCGCTCTATATTTTTGAGCCCCAAAAAAAGTTACTTGAAATATTTTTTAGCAATGTTAAGAGATAAAACGTTTATATGTTTAATTTCTTGATTTTCTTATCGGACGAAAGCCTATGCAATATCCGGGCCCCTGTAGGCACGCGCCTCAAGCGCCTACTGGTTAATATAGCCCTGGTCCTAGTTATAATAATTATAACTAATGGATAATTATTATCCATGACACCATAGTCATTCAACTACGCAGGTGTGTGGTAGCCGTCCTAAAAACATCCGCTTTCCATATCTTACCTTGTACTATGTGCGGTAAGCTGGATGGAACTTTGAAAGACATATAAAGGAAAACAAAATGGATATCAGATACCATAAAATAGATTATTATAAGACAAAAATTCGAGAGGACGACGAAAATGCCATAGGAGTTGAGGAAAACTTGAAAGATCTTACTGGATTCTATGGAGGATTCCCACTTCGCATTCAACGCGGCAATTAGCGAATTAGTTACTACATATTGTGCATTTCCCAGAGACTTAGTCACTTTTGAACTTATTTCTGAAGAAGGTTGCAATATGGCATCTGAAACGTCAGTGTTTTAATAGATGCATAGCACACCCGGAAGTTTAAAACGTTTTGATATGGTACAAACGTATTTCTCAATGATGTCAGGTTCAACGCAAGCATCAAAAAACGATTTTAATTTACAATACGGCTACCTGGATGCGCGATTCAAAGATCCGCTGTCTTATAAATTATGGCAAGAAACTTTTGTAACAAAACGATACGATTCCCCCCCCCCATGTTCTCAATGGCGTCCTAGAAAACCAGTCAGAGGCGAGTTGACTTGACACCACCGACTGGTTTTCTAAGACGCCACTGAGAACAAGTGGAGGGGGGAAATCCTATAGTTTTGTTACAAAAGTTCCGTGTCCTAGTTATAATTATCCATGACACCATAGTCATCCAACTATGCAGGTGTGTAGTAGTTGTTCTAAAAACATCCGCCTTCCATATCTTACCTTGTACTATCTGGGGTAAACTGAACGGAACTTCGAAAGTCGTATAAAGGAACACAAAAGGGATATCAGTAGGGCACGGAATTTTTGTAACAAAACGATACGATTTCCCCCTTCCATTTGTCCTCAGTGGCGTCCTAGAAAACAAGTCGGTGGCGTCAAGTCAACTCGCCATTGAGAAGAAGTGGAGGGGGGAAATCGTACAGTTTTGTTACAAATGTTCCGTACCCTAGTTATAATTATCTATGACACCATAGTCATGTGTAGTAGCTGTTCTAAAAACAGCCGCTTTCCATATCTTACCTTGTACTATGTGAGGTAAGCTGGATGGAACTTTGAAAGACATATAAAGGAATACAAAATGGACGTCAGATACCATAAAATAGATTATTATAAGACAAAAATTCTTGCCAGGAGTAGCCACTATCAGCAGAGGATGACGAAAATGCCATAGGAGATGAGGAAAACTTGAAAGATTTTACTGGATTCTATAGAGGATTTCCACTTCGCATTCAACGCGGCAATTTGCGATTAATTAGCAATTAATTCTTGTTTTTGAAGAAGGTTGCATATGGCATCTGAAACGTCAGTGTTTTAATAGATACAAGGCACACCCGGATGTTTAAAACTTTTTGATATGGTCCAAACGTATTTCTCAACGATGTCAGGTTTAGCGCAAGCATCAAAAAACGACTTTAATTTACAATATCGCTGCCAGGACGCGCGACTCAACTGCGCATACGGTCCCGTCAAGGTCAATGTTGTTTACTGCACATATACCAGATTACACTGATTTTGTATGTGAAAAGAACTACTTCGATAACGGGAAATACCCAGAGAAGGAATCAGAATAGAAGGTGTGTTAGACCAGTGATATGATTATCAAGTGGACTGAGCGTTCCGCATAGTTCCCAGGGAAAAGAGTGATGCCAATAGGTTAGGCAACCAACAGTGACCATTGTAGGCAAAAGCGACCGGCCACACGGGAAGGTTAATGCTGTTGCGGGGTTAATGCTATTCTACTATGCAATTTTCTGACCTGCTGTACCTTTGTCAGTGGCAAAGTACCTGTTTATAAACAAGTTCAAAATTTCGACGAAAATCATTTTTTTTAATAATATTTTAATAATAACATTTTAATAATGTCATTTTAGATATTCACATGAAGCAAGTTGCTCACTTGTCTTATTATACTATTTTAGTAGGAACGCTTTCCTATGGCGCTGTCCGGCTTTTGCCTACAATGGCAAATGTTGGTTGCATACCCTACTGGCATCACTTTATTCGGCGAACTCGCAGTCCAGTTGATAACCATGTCACTGTGTTAGACTGATAACGGGAGAATATGTATATATTATGTACTAATTTTAAGTTGTCGAGAATTTTATGAATTTATATGAACCAGTAAATGCCGATACTTTAGAGTAAATAACGACGAAAAATGACAATTAATACTGTGATAAAATTAATAAAAATAATAATAATGAATGAGTATGCAACCCAAATACCAGCATTCTGACGTCATCACTCGTCGTAACGTGCCTCAGCGAAAAATAGATGTTACAAAATTATTGAAAGATAGCAATCTATGTAGTAAGATGATACATGTAATTTAAGGACATATGTGTATTTACGTTCTATGTATAAGGAGGTAAGATTTCGTGATGTTTCTAAATTGAATTAGTAGACAAGTAATATTGACGGCAACCATCAAATCAATATCGAAGTATCTAAGAAATATATTAGAAAAGACCCCAAACATAAAAAATTGATACTGTTAAACAATTCATAATGTGAAACTCAATATATTTTTTTAAAATAAATAAATCGTGGAAGAAGGAAGAACATATTAAATAACTACGCATGCGCCTGTCGAAATGAGAAAAGAAATTTTATACAGATGGCGCGACGTGTTGACGTCGTAGAAAGTGACATCCGTCCTTCATATCCATTAAATTAACCAAAAACTACTTACGTTGACCCCCGAACATAACCAAATGTACGTCCGCAACTGCTCTGAATTAATTAACTCCTTGCTGAAAACGTCCAGGACATTTTCCCGGCTTAAACACAAGCGACAATACATGTCAGCCATTACGAACGTTGCCACTCACGAGACTATTTTGTTTGTTACTGAAGCCGTGCACCAATCGGCTGACCTCGCTCGATTCTCGCACCACGTGACCGGTTTGGGTGGGGGAACCCACCACCACAGCTGACTGATATGAATGTCCGGTATATACGTAGCATTCCAACAACAACTTGATTAAAAAAGGTAAAGTTATCCTTAATATTATATTAGAATGTTAAAGACATGCTAATAATAAATGAGAATTAATTAATATTATCATCGGCCACTAAATTTTTAGTTTTAAATTTCGCGCTGAAATGAAATGCGCCATCTTTTCTATATCTTTGTAATGTCTTTACAACTATAAGACAGTAACGACTAGATTTTAGCTACTCATTTATATGCCCTATTAATATTAAAGAAACCGCTGTTATAGTACTCAGCATTAAAGATTGTAACCTACAATTATTATAATTAACGAAATTTAATTTAATTCATCGTTTAAAGCGTAATTCAATCTAACTCGTGTATTGTATTTTTAAAATAACCTTCAACTCAGCTAAATTTTTCGTTTTAGCTTGATTGTGAGGTTAGAAAGTGATTGCTAGGTTATAAATAGATTCTATAAGGAGCCGTTGACTTCGGTTGCGTAGTTGTGGTCCTCGATTAATAGATGGCGCTAATATATTTAAGTTTTACAGAACTTGAAAATAAATAAATAAATAATAAATTGAAACAATTGTAACTTAAGAAAGTTAAATTAATATTTTGTGTATTATTTTTGTACCATTTATGTTTATTTTTGTGAAATAATAAAAAAACAGATGTATTTAAACAACTTTGTTATCTTCATTCGCTTTTCTGCTTACACTGCAAATTCACTCAAATTACTTTCAACATACTTTATTTTTTTTGTCAAGATCACATTTTTAGAGTTTATGTTGGTATTATCTAAATTTCTTTAAAAGTTTGTTTTTTTTTTAATTTTTAGTAACATTTTCAGTAACTATAACTTATATCATAGATAATTGATAATTAATCACGTTGTCCATGTTGCAAGTTATCTATTAATTAAATAAATAAGGAATAAAAACCTCTTACTTGCTTTTATTACCGTATTTTCTCGAATCTTATCCGCACTCGAATCTAATCCGCACCCTGATTTTAAAAATGCAATGATGGTAAAAAAAGTTGGTTTTCCAATGTAATCCACATCCGATTGTAATCCGCATTTGATTTTAGAGCATACAAAAATTGTAAAAAGGGTGCGGATTAGATTCGAGAAAATACGGTATATTTTATTCGAAACTAGTTTCGAGGTACAAACCTCATCTTCAGTCGAACTACAAAGAAATCAAATAATGATTATAAACAAAATTGTTACAAACATGTTAAAATGGCCACAAATAATTACTAATTTCTAAATACTCACAGTCAAAATTTTACTATAAAAGTTTTCGAAACATCAATACTCTATTTAAGACAGGGCCAGCGCTAGCAAATGAAGCGCCAGGGTGCGGGAACAATTTTAATTTAAAAAAATTAAAAAATGCATTTTAATTAAAAAAATATATATAATTAACAAAGAAAGAACAAAGAAATATAAATAAACTTAAAAAAGACTGGAATAATCATAATCCATACTTCAGCAATAGTTTAAGAATTATACTGGTGAAAAACCAAACTTAAGGGAATAGTCGGGAATACTCTGGTCAGAAGGTTAATTTATAAGAAAACGTCTGAAATTGCAATAGTTATAAACTAGACTTCAGCAAAAAACAGGAATTACATTGTTCAAAGTCCACATGAAGTCTGAAATTACTGTTGAGAGAAAACTGTAACGAAGTTACATTTTTTTTTTTGGAAAAATTTATAACATCCGAATATACTTCCCACATTACCCCGACCTCCTACAGTTTCCGCCCGATTTAGAAAAATCCAAAAATTGATACCTTATCACCACCCACTTATGCAACTTTATTCGCATTTTCCTTAATTTCTTAATTTCCTTAATTAAACTTCAAATTTTCATATTAATTCATTTAAAACCGTTAAACCTTTTTCTGAAAACGTTTCCTGACCGAATTTCAAATAAACAAAAGCAATTAGTGGAAATCGCCAAACGACGTAATTACCGAAAGCACATGGTTTCTGAAAATTGTTATTTAAAATAATTAAATAACACCGCAACGAAGTAAAATACGAAGAAGTATCAGTAATCAGTAATCAGGGTGTTACTGTAAACAAGGCCGACCGTCCCGTGTGAGTTTCAGCAGCCAGCGAGCTACCGTTCAGCTACCGTACAGCGACTATTTTTTTTATGATGCGGAATTAGAAATCGTAGAACAATCAAACCGATTTCAAACAATTACTAGTATCATGAAATAACCGTTGAATGATTCTAAAGACGATCCGATTATGATTAACATGATTATTAACCAAAATCATCCCGCATCTTAATTAATTAATTTACTTCATTCCTGATGGTCATCCATGGAAAATACTACCCGTATAGGATTGCCCCGGACACCGCCCAACCGCTGAAGCTACTTTGTGTTGAAGTGCGCGTTAATTAATACTGATTAATCGAAGTTAACGTGAAACACGCGGTCGGGAAAATGTTTTTGTATGTAAGTGCCGTAAACGCTAACC